CACCAGTCTCTGGAAGCAGCCCCTCACTTCAAGGAACTTTGATCTCTCAGCAGCATAATTTCTAAAAAACAAGATTGTTTATCCTTAGAAGTAACAATCAGAAACACTAGAATGAGCAACATCTGCACATACCCACGTCCCACTTCAGCATTACCATAAACCTGGAATGACCCCAACACCAGCAGCTCCCATGCACCCTTGTCCTGCATGTTCCTCCCTGGAACTCAGGGCCTCATGATTTTACCTACAGAACCAGAATTAGTTCTGTGATTTCTGTTTGGGCTCCTGCAAGCCCAGGTACAGGCTCAGCTCAGACTAGGTGCTGTTTCAGACACAGACTTCTATCTTGCTGGTTAAGCACCAAGAGCAGACTGACAGCTGCTGCCTGCCTGCCTGCTGAGGGGAGGGCTCAGCTCAATACTCATTCAGAGAACACTGGTTCAGCAAAAGGGGAAGGTAATATTCAAAAAGTTAAAAGAAAGTCCCTCCCCACTCCCCTCAAACCAGTTATATTTACAGTAAAATCTGTTTCCAAGAAAAAAAGTAGTAAAAATAGTTACAAAACCAAACCAAACAATTACAATAAAAAGTAAAAAAACCCTCAGTGAAACAGAAAGGCAAGTTCCAAGTCAGCTTTAACTTCATTATCATGTTTTGTTATGAGTCTTTGGCCTCATAACAGTGGCCCCTGATGTTTTCTAGTACCCTGTTACAGTATGAATTGATGCAGCAAACTTACAGCTGGGAAGTGTAGAAGCCCCCAAATGAGGTGAAACCTCCTTGCTCGTTGCTCGCAGTGGTTTGAGGAGAGCTTTCAAAGAAATCAAATACCAGCTAAGACAGATGTCTTCAGTGAAAACACAATGTGGGAACCACCTTGGTGGAGCTATTCCCTTCTCTACCCTCCCTTTTGCCTTCCAAAGTTCCCCACTCCACCCAGCTGCAGCCTCTCCACCAAACCAGCGACCATTACAAACACACTTCAGCATTTGGCTCAGGCAGCACCAGGGAACGTGCAACTTTTTCTCCTCGAATATGCCCAGTGCTCAGAGGTTCATGCAGAGGTTTGCCTTGGGAGGAATGCTTCATGTGAGCCAAGGTTCTGGCACAGACCTGCTGTGGCACTTGCCAGCTCACCTTCTGGCACGCACTAATTAGTGGTGCCACAGCGTTAGCAGTCCCAGGGCTGAGATGGTCGGCAGCTCCAGCAGCTCTCCGTGGAGATTCCTGGCTCAGACTCCTCTGTTCCTTCTCACAGAGAGCTTAAAAGTACTGGCATTTTTTTTTAAATGCAAAAATATTTAAGATAGAATTGTCATTTCCTGTGGATGTGCACGTAGCTAAGAACAGAAGTACTCACTGGCTGGGCTAGAATTAGCAAAAATAAATGTTGCACAAATAATTGGAAATGTCTCCTATCCCATAGATATTCAGGTGGCTGAATCTCCCAGGGAAACCTGTGGAAGCTCAAAATTTAACCACCCACAGGGTCCTACCCCTCTCTGCAGGAGAGATCCTGCTGGTGTTCTGGAGACAGGTATTGGAGCCTTAACTGAGCAGAGCGCTCCCACTCTCACACTGCCTCTGGGAATGCTTGGGGTGACAAACATTGCTCACTCCACACATTACAGAGCAGCTTCCCAAACATGAAAGGCAGCACTGGCTGAGGCACAGGCTGTGGGAAGCACAAAGGCTCAGGATTGCTAAGGAAGTGAGGAAATAGATGGCACTGACGTGCAGGCCTTTGCTTTCTGGCCCTGGCAGAAAAAAAACCCCAACTGTAACTGCATTAAATCCAGCAGCACCTGCACCAGGAAACATCATCCGAGCCCTGCAGTGGCTCCCCTGCTCCATTTTAGGGAGGGTTTGCCAGGGCTTCCTGAATGCACACATTTATGAACGCTGTGCTGAGCACACCTGATGAGAATTGATGCTGAATGTACTTTCCTGGAGAGCACGACACAGGCAAGGCATTCTACATTCTCTGCCTTTAATCAGAAAGAAGACTGTATTCCTTTTGTGCATTGCTCTGAAGAGATGGCATCACATCCTGGAGGAAAAGCTGTCTTTACTGATTAGTACAGCCTTGTATGAAATCTTGAGCAAGTCCTGCCCAGATTTATCCTGGCTGCCTCTGACACTTAAATGATGCTGCAGTTTTTGGAATTGGTCACATCAAACACCATTACAGAGAACAGAAATGTGTTGTCAGTGGTGCTGAGCTGGGGTGGGCCAAACCAACCCTTTTCACTGATTCCAGTGTGAACACAGCCCAGAGTTTGCTATTCAATCAATGCCCATAATTAGTGGATAAATCTGGACCCTAATGGCTCTGCATTACTCAGCTATCTCAAAGGAAACTGCATAAACCTCCTGCATTCCTGTTTCAGATGTGAAGGATGAGCTGTGTGTGTCTCCCTGGGCACCTCTGAGGCTGACACAGGTCTGTCCCAGGATCCTCTCAGGTTCCTGATGCTCTGGGGCTCCTCTCAGGGTCTCCGGGGCTGCTCCAAGAGTTCCTGGACTCCTTCCAGCACCTCTGTGGGAAGTTGATGTTTATATGCCAGAAATATCGATCACCATAACCTTTATATTAAGCCAACTACCAGAGGCTATTCAACCTCCACAGGGCTGTTCTTCTCCAGCCACCTCCTCGCCTGATGCAGGATTGGATTATTGTTATCCAGGCACAGATCCCAGGATATGTGTACAAGGCACAACATCTCTGTGTGTCACATGAGCGCCCGAGTGACACAGAGCTGGCCTAGTGTGCTCTGTGTGTCGGCAGGATTGAGGTCACTGCTGCCTTTGCCTCAGCCCAGCGAGGCAGGAGGGTGAGACTCCCTGGCTTTAGGAGCCTCTTTCAAGTTTTTGCTACAGTGTGAAACAAGAAGAGATGCTGGGACTTGTAGACCCAGCTGGCATCCCGATGAATACATATAACCATAGAAAGGCTCTGCTGAAACAATAATCAAAGTGTGCTTAATAGAAACTGTGACCAATGGACGCACTGGCTGGGCAGGAATGTGCTCACAAAGCTGGGCGGTGGAATAAGGGTCAGAGGAAAGGCAAGGGTGGTTTCTCCAGCCCGGAGTGTTCAGCTGCCTCATGACAGGGCTGCAGCACCCACAGGCAGCTCAGGACGGAGGGGCCACCAAGGGGAAGCCTCAGTGAGCAGCACCCACCTCACACAGACCCCCTCACAGGGGCACTCCCCTCACAGCACAGGGGAGCTGGCACTGAACGGCTCAGCCTGGCCCAAGAGCCATCATGGCCCCACAACCCTTCACAGCCCCCCGAGCCCTCACAGCCCCCCGAGCCCTCACAGCCCCATGGACCTTCATGGCTCCCTCAAAATGCTGGATCCCCCGAGCCCTCACAGTACCAGACCACTCATGGCCCCCTAGGCCCTCACAATTCCCTCACAGACCTCCAAGCCCTCACAGCCCCCAAGTCCTTACAGCCTCCCAACCCCTCAGAGCCCCATGGACCTTCATGGCCCCCTCACAACGGCTGGACCCCCTGAGCCCTCACAGTCCCAGAACCCTCAAGGGCCCCCGAGCCCTCGCACTCCCCTCACAGACCCCCCAAGTCCTTACAGCCCCCAGCCCTGACAGCAGTCAGACCCCTCAAGCCCTCACACCCCTCCCCCAAAAGCCCTCACAGCCCCAAACCCTCAAGGCCCCCTGAGCCCTCACAGCCCCCAGATCCCCTCCCAGCCCTCACCATTCCGTTTTCACGACCCTAAAGCCCTCACAGACCTGAGTCCTTACAGGCCCTCCAAGCCCCCATTCAAGGCCGGGACCCCTGAGCCCTCACGCTCCGTCACAGGCTCCGAGCCCTTCACATTCGCCTGAACCTGCTCATAGCCCCTCAAAGACGCCTTGCTTCACATTACCCCTCTCCCTCAGTGTCCGCCCCAGCCTTTTCTCGCCTTCCCCTCCAGGGCGGCGAGCGCGCAGGTCGCCCATGGACAACGCCCGCGCGCGGCGCGGCCCCGCCGCCCCTCGGGCGGGGCCCGCGCGACAGAAGTGGCTGGACACGCCGCCGCAGGGCCGCGCGTGCGCACCCGGGGGTACCGCTGCGCCCGCCTCACCACACACGCGCTGCGGCGCCCCCGGGGGTTCGCGGGAAGCGGGACGGGGAGGGAGATTGAGACCAATGTGGGCCCGCAGGGAACCCGCCCTGTCCGCAGTGAGGAGGACCGCGGCTTCCGCTGCGCAAAGCGCGCCACACGGCGCCGCGAAGGAGGCGCTGCGAGCGGCCACCGCCGCCCGCTCGGAGTCACTGCGGACGGTTACCACGGGCACGGCCCGCGGCCAATCAGGCGGCGTGAGCTCATCCCCCGGGGCTGCCGGCCAATCGTCTGCGACATCAATCATTCAATTCGGCCAATGGGGAGTGCTTTCAGCGGGCGGGGCGGGCACTCGCAGGCCGCCGTTTCCCCACAGCACAGCCAACAGACAGCGGGGCGGGGCCAACGGGAGTCAACGGCTTGAGTGACAGCCACGCGGCCAACTGGATCGTCTCGCTTGTGGAGCCTCGTTATAAGCAGCCAATCGTTGCTGCGCGTGGACTCCTGGGCGGGGAAAAGGCGGCTGCGCGCGCATTCCGCTGCTATATAAGGGCTGGCGGTTGCCTCACGCAGCCAGAGTCGGTTGGGGGAAGGTTTGGGTCCGTGGGAGCGCTCGTAACAGCCGCCATCATGAGGGAGATCGTGCACCTGCAAGGCGGGGCGTGCGGCAACCAGATCGGTGGCAAGTCCGGGCGGGAGAAGGGGGCTGCGGGGGGGAGGAAGGAGGGGGGCGAGAGGGGCGCGGCTGGCCCGGCGCGGCCGCCTGACGTGCTTCTCTCCGGCAGTTCTGGGAGGGTGATAGCGACGAGCACGGCATCGACCCCACCGGCCCTACCACGGGGACAGCGACCTGCAGCTGTGGAGGCCTTCATGTCTACTTTACAACGAGGCCAGTAGGGCCGGGCCCCTCCGAGCCGCCCCCCCCGGGCTCCCCGCGCCCCCGGCGCCGCAGTGAACGGCTCTCGCTGTGTTCGCAGGCGGCAAGTACGTGCCCCGCGCCGTGCTGGTGGACCTGGAGCCCGGCACCATGGACTCGGTGCGCTCCGGGCCCTTCGGGCAGATATTCAGGCCAGATAACTTCGTGTTCGGTGAGTGCGCGGGGGCGGGAGGAGCCGCGGGGTGGGGCAGGGCCGGGCACTGCGGGGCTGCCCCGCCGCACATGCTCCGAGGGACCGGCCCCGCCGGGGCTTATCCTGGCGTGGAGCACCGGGATTGCGGCTGGGAGCAGCTCCCAGGCGGCACCAGAGGTCGTTGCTCTTTCTCATTCTTGCTACCGCCTCCCTTGCCACACCGAGAGAAACGGAGTGGCTGCTGTATCATTGATAATTAATGTTTTGCCTGTGTGTGCCGAGCCACTGCGGAGGTGCCTGTGTGAAACCACAGCCCTTGCGCTCGATAAGATGAAAGCTTTTTCGTGGAGCCTGATGCTCTTAAGCTTTGCTTGCAAGCAATAAGCAGGAAGCAGTGACCGTAATCTAATATGAAAATGGCTCTTTTCCAGGTCAGAGCGGAGCAGGAAACAACTGGGCAAAGGGCCATTATACGGAAGGTGCTGAATTAGTCGATTCTGTGTTAGATGTTGTAAGGAAGGAGGCAGAAAGCTGCGATTGTCTGCAGGGCTTTCAGCTTACTCACTCCCTGGGTGGTGGCACAGGCTCTGGCATGGGTACCCTTCTCATCAGCAAAATCCGTGAGGAGTACCCAGACCGAATTATGAATACTTTCAGTGTGGTGCCCTCCCCTAAAGTGTCAGATACGGTGGTAGAGCCCTACAACGCCACGCTCTCAGTGCACCAGCTGGTGGAGAACACGGACGAGACGTACTGTATCGATAACGAGGCGCTGTACGACATCTGCTTCAGAACGCTGAAGTTAACGACCCCCACCTACGGGGACCTGAACCACCTCGTGTCGGCCACCATGAGCGGTGTCACCACCTGCCTGCGGTTCCCGGGCCAGCTCAACGCTGACCTGCGGAAGCTGGCGGTGAACATGGTCCCCTTCCCTCGCCTGCACTTTTTCATGCCTGGTTTTGCCCCGCTCACGAGCCGTGGGAGCCAGCAGTACCGGGCTCTCACCGTGCCAGAGCTCACCCAGCAGATGTTCGATGCCAAGAACATGATGGCAGCGTGTGACCCGCGTCACGGCCGCTATCTGACGGTGGCCGCCGTCTTTAGGGGCCGCATGTCCATGAAAGAGGTGGACGAGCAGATGCTCAACGTTCAGAACAAAAATAGCAGCTATTTTGTTGAGTGGATCCCCAATAACGTTAAGACAGCGGTCTGTGACATTCCACCTCGCGGCCTCAAAATGTCTGCCACCTTCATTGGCAACAGCACGGCCATCCAGGAGCTGTTCAAACGCATTTCTGAGCAGTTCACTGCGATGTTCCGCAGAAAGGCCTTCCTGCACTGGTACACGGGGGAGGGCATGGACGAGATGGAGTTCACAGAGGCTGAGAGCAACATGAACGACCTGGTGTCCGAGTACCAGCAGTACCAGGATGCCACGGCCGAGGAGGAGGGGGAGTTTGAGGAGGAGGCTGAGGAGGAGGCAGAGTAAAGCTATGCAGTCGAACACCTGTAAATTTTGTTTAAAGTTGTATGAACTCTCTCTCATTCAAAGGTTCTGTTCGTGTTGTGTTATTATTGCTGTTTCCGAGTCACTCCCAATGCTGTACAGGCACCATTAAAGCAGTTTTCACAGTGCAAAGCCCCGTCTCCTCTGTTCTTTCCGGTAAGCTTCCCGCGTGCCGTTCCCGTAGGTGAGCGAGTACAAGTCCCGGAGGTCTGGAAAAGGAACACGGCGGCCTTGGCATGAGCACCCCACGGCAACGCCCCTGCTCTGCTGCCCTCGGCCAGGTGATGTGTCACTGGCACGGTGACAGCCCTGCTGTGGGAACTGGAGAAATTCCCTGCTATTCCCTTGTGATCAGGTACTGCTGGAGGGGGGACACACTGACACAGAGGGTGGAATTGGCTCCAAGCTGTATCTAAATTTAGGTCCCTGGTCGTGGCCTGTGCAGCCTGGCAGGGCAGGGGCTGAGCAGCTGCTGGGCTGGGCACGAAGGGGCCACTGCAGGTTTGAGCTGCCTGGGCATGAAATAGTGCCAGCGAGTGCCACAGCACTGAGGGTGTCCCTGGCACCGGCTGAGCTGATCCAGGGCAGCAACTCAGCTCTACAAACCCAGCAGGGAGCTGTGGCCTGGCCCAGGAGTGCTGGGGACAGCTGTGACAGGCTGGGTGGCACCTACTGCTGGGGACAGGTGACACCAGAGCTGTCCTGTGCACTCAGTGCACGCAGCACTGCTGCAGTTGCCCTTAAATCGCTGTAGGGATTTTGAAATTAAATCAGGTGTTGGTGCAGCCTCTGCTTTTGGGGTGAGCTGAACACCTGACAGTGACATTGGTTTGTCCCATGGAAACCCTGTATTAACACAGCACATTTTTACTGTGGAAAAAATGTGCTCAGTGTCACCTGAAGTGACAAAGCTGGACAGGAGGGAACAGGCTGCTTCCCTGATGGAGAAATTCTGGTCAGGGTTCTAAATCATAACTGCTTTGGTTTAAAGGTTTTCTGCTTTAATTAATTTTCTCCACCCAGAGCCGGACTGGTTGGAGCAGTTAAAACTGTGCTGACTCCGGTGGCTCCTGGGGCAGGGAAGTGGGAATGTCAGACCTGCACAGAACAGGCTGTAGGGGGAAAGATGGCAACAGATCCCTAAAGCCTGAATTAACACAGGAGTTATTTTTGCCCTTGATTTTAGGGTGGGTTTTTCTTGCTCCCTGGCTGGCAGGGTGTCCAGCTGGGATTTTCCTGCCTGGCTTTCCCAGGTCCTGTTGCAAGTCTCACTAAAGCCACACTCACTGCCTCAGCCTCTGCATCAGCCACAGCCCAGCCCTGCCAGGATGATTTTCCCACTCTTTGCTTTCAGTTCCTCCACATTTTATCTATTTTATTATTTTCCCTCTGCACTGCAGTAAGGACAAGCCATGAGTTTGGTTCTCCCTGACTTCCCACCCACGTTACTGAGCTGTGACCAAACGCAGCAATGTATTAGTTGCTGATTTGTTGAGATTTTAGCCTGGTACTTTCCCCTTACACACAAAATTCCTCCAGACCTTTCCTTTTAGGCAGCACCAAGACCTGACAAGGCTCAGGCAGGCACATGTCCTGATGGCCAGTCCCATTTCCCACACTTTTTGTGCCATCTCAATCCCTTTATATCACCTACCTTTTGCTTTTTATCAGATTTTAAGCTTTTCAGAACAGAATCCTTTCCCTGACATGTGACCAGTGGGGTGCCACTGAGTCTCTCCTGCCTCAGTAAGGGGGTGGTGGCTGGAACTGTGCCCTGGTGAGCCTGGCAGTGGGAATTCTGGGCTCTACCACAGCAAGCACAGCTCCAGAAAAAAAAAAACTACTATCTGTGTGGAACATTTCAGCAACTGTTCACTTCCATTCCACCCCAGCTAATAACAGCACTACTTAGCACAGTAATTAATATTGGTGACTTTCACTTCTCACTCAGCTGATGAACTTACGTGGCACAAAGCCCGTGTAGGCAGGTTTCAGTCCACCACTGTTGTAGATTTTGGTGTCTGGCCAGTGTGTCAGGGGAAATCTCATGCCCAAGGTGAAAGGTGGATTTTTCTTCAAAAGCTGGAAAAGAAAAAATAAAAAAACCCCACAACAACATGAAACGGTTTATTTTAAAAAGTACTATTTTTACCGAAGTCATGTGCTTTGAGTCTACATTACATAAAATATTTAAGCCAACATAAAGCAATTCTCTTTCCAACCCTGCTTTTTTATAAATTAAAAGCCACATTGAAATCTCCCCATAAGTTTTTCTCCTGGCAGGTGTTGGCAGCAGCCTCTGGCAGTGCCCAGAGCGAGTCCTGGCCCAGCAAGTCCAAGTCCTAAGGATCTCTGCTGACCTTGGGCATCATCCCCAAGTCCTAAATGCCTGGTGCTTTGCTGTGAGCCAGCAGTTCCTGCTGGAGCTGGGCACACCTGTGCTGGGTCTGACCCACGAGTCCCACAAACAGCAGTAATTACAGTCCCTGTAATTCCCAGGCCGGGAGGAACAGGAAGGCTTAGGGAGCATAAGAAGGGAGGGTGTAAATCATCTCCTGGGAGAGTCCCTGCCCTCCGAGGGGCTGGGCAGGGGGGTGGGTGTCACAGCCACCCAAAGGTGTCCCTGGAGCTGTGCCACCCCCTCGGAGGGGGGGTCACACCGTGGGGCCAGGCAGCCCTTTGTGGCTGTTATTGCCGGGTGCAGGCAGGGAGCAGTGACTGATCCACGGCACAGCCCCGCACGTAACCTAGGGCAACAGAGATTTAGGGCAGAAGATTAGTGGCTCGAAGTCAGAAGCCATCTTAGATGGAATTGCGGTGTGATTCTCTCTCCCTTGCGTGCCTGTTCCCTCGGTGCTGCTGAGCCAGCCTGGATTGCGCCGGATCCTGACACCTCCCTCCCTGATTTACTGCACGGCAGGAAAGGGGCAGAAAGGCTCTGCAAGCAGCACAGTTAGTTTGGGTGATGCCGGGGTTTGTTCTGTTCGCTCCATTTCAATCCCTGTTCACGGCAGCAGGGAAGGAGAAGGAAGCCAGAGCGGGGAAACACATCTCAGCCAAAGCACGACGTGCTCAGCTCCCTGACTCATTTCTTCCCAGCTGATTTCTCTGAGCTGGGGATGCTCAATCTTGGATGTTTTTCCTACATCTGAGGCATGACAGCGGCTCCCGGGGAGCAGGAAGGGCTGGAATGTCGTAGCCTGCTCTCAGTGAGCTCATAGGCGCTCACCGGGGCTGGACCAGCGAGGCTGCTGCATCCCAGGGATCTCCCTGCATCCCGAGGGATCTCTCTGCATCCCAGGGATCTCCCTGCATCCCAGCGGTCTCCCTGCATCCCAGGGATCTCTTTGCATCCCAGGGATCTCTCTGCATCCCAGGGATCTCTCTGCATCCCAGGGATGTCCCTGCATCCCAGCGATCTCCCTGCATCCCAGGGATCTCCCTGCATCCCGGGGATCTCTTTGCATCCCAGCGATCTCCCTGCATCCCAGGGATCTCCCTGCATCCCGGGGATCTCCCTGCATCCTGGGGATCTCCCTGCATCCCAGGGATCTCCCTGCATCCCGGGGATCTCCCTGCATCCCGCAGGCAGGAAGGGATGTGCTTTGAATACAAGCTATTAACTGCTGTGGGAGGGATCTCATTTTCCCGTGTGGGGGGATTATGTGGCATCGTATGGGAGCTCTTACAACACACTTTTCCAGTAGGGATATTTCTCCCAAAAAAAAGGAGGAGAAAGAAGATCTAGATCCCTTTAAGACAAATGATGTTAGTAAAGGAAAAAGCCTTACAACCAATTAAAAGGGAGACACATTCACCCAAGCAGCACAGGAAGCCATTCCAGCACTGCCATCCAGATGGAGAAGATGAATTCCATAAGGGAAGTGCAGAGAGTTGCATCCTGTATTTCTGCACTCAGAGCAACATTTTTAACAGCCACCTTTGACCCAGCCCTCAGTAGATTTGCTTAATCCTTTCATGAACTCGTTTATCCTCCCTTAATGTCCCAAGGAAACAAGTTACAGAATTTAATCACTCATGTTTTTTTCAGCATTACCCAACAGAGTTTGATTTGTACTTATAACCCACTTCTGATCCTACCACTGAAAATTCAGGTGGATCAGCATCAACACTGTGCACATTCTTATTTCAGCAATATGTGATCTACCTGGTAGTTGTCAAATTCCTTCATTGCCTTCCTCACACCTGGGATGTAGGTCAGACCAAGATTGTTGGTGAAGCAGGGGATGAATCCGGTGTAGCCTTGGGATGAAGGCAAGAGAGAACATTTTCTGCTTGAGAACACACATATCATTTAAGGATCACCCAGACTGGAAGTGGAGGAGCCTGGGATGAATATAAAAACTCAGAGTATATGAAGGAAAATTTAATCTATTTAAATTTAAAATTAACTCTTACTCCTGAAGCATCTTCTCTGAAAGAGTTTTTTTCTTATGATTCCCAAGGAAAGCACAATGGGCTGAACTGATTTTTGTTGGTCTCCATGAGTATGGAAGAACCATTTTCTTACAGTCTTTCTTTACATCAACAGCTCTTTCATGTTCTCTCCCAGTTTAATACACATTCAGGCATTAACAACCAGGTGTCCAACCTTTCCTCCTCATCTGCTCTGCCCATCCAACACATTTCCAGGACAGAAACTTAATAAAGTCTAAAATTACATAAAACCCAGAGAGGTAGAACCTAAAAGCATCCAAAGCTCCCTCTTTCCAAAGGAATGCTTTGGAGAGGGGAAATTTGTCTTCTGCATCTTAAGGCATGGATGTTCCCTCATTTTAACTGAAATATTGTGATCCCTGTATTCCTGTGGAGTGAAATATCCCACCCACTGGTGCTGGGCCCTCGAGGGGGAGCTCAGTCCAACACCCATCACAGTTCTTCTGCTGCACAGGAACCTTCTTCCAGAGCAAGTATAAACCTTGTAGGGCAGGGTTCATACCTTTATGGTGGAGCCACACACCACTGTGGGTGGATTTGGTGATCAGAAAAACACCTTATTTCAGGGAGAGGAATAACTGCCTCAGTGGGAACAGATGCTCAGAGCCACTGGGGTGGGACAGAGCCCACAGCCCATCTCTCCTCACTTTCTGGAGCCTGCAGGGAGCTGAGGT